CTCAGAGGACCTCCCTCTAGCCTCAGATTCAAAGTATAGCAAACAAAGATAAACACTCTCGTAAAAGGTACATTTACAAGTTGAGAAAACAAAGTAAAACTAACACGCCTTGCCTGGCTGTTTACTTACAAGTTTGAAATATGAGAGACTTGTTTAGAAAGATGTGGAGAACCTGGATTGATGTCTGGTCCCTCTCAGTCCCAAGAGCGAACGAACTCCCAAACAAAGAGCACAAACAAAAGCCTTCCCTCCTCCCCAAGATTTGAAAGTATCTTGTCCCCTTATTGGTCCTTTGGGTCAGATGCCAGCCAGGTTACCTGAGCTTCTTAACCCTTTACAGGGAAAAGGATTTTGGAGTCTCTGGCCAGGAGGGATTTTATAGTACTGTACACAGGACAGCTGTTACCCTTCCCTTTATAGTTATGACAGATACACTCAAGGTGTGTCTTTGCCTGTGATTGTACAACCTGGAATCCACTGTCATGCCAATAAAATGGTTTATTGGGAGAGTGGGCAAAAGCAAGTGATTAAAGTACAATAAACATGAGAGACAGCAGCATCTAGTAATCTGAGCACAGGCCTGGGAGCCAAAAACTTCTGCATTCACCTGAACAGCTGTAGCCTATTGTAACTTCCTCCTGGCCCAAAAAACCTCCCTAATTCGGATTTGTATATATCTTTGAATCCTAGTCAATAATTAAGTGTCTTGCAAAACATTGTGTCAAGTATCAGGGGGTAGCCGTGTTAGTCTGTATCTACAAAAACAACAAGGAGTCAGTCAGCCATTCCCAGTCCCTATTCAAGCCCAGATTAATGGTGGTAAATTTGCAAATGAATTTTAGTTCTGCTGTTTCTCTTTGAAGTCTGTTTCTGAAGTTTTTTTTGTTCAATGATAATGACTTTTAAATCTGTAATAGAATGACCAGGGAGATTGAAGTGTTCGCTTACTGGCTTTTGTATGTTACCATTCCTGATGTCCAATTTGTGTCCATTTATTCTTTTGCGGAGGGACTGTCCGGTTTGGCCAATGTACATGGCAGAGTGGCCTTGCTGGCACATGATGGCATATATCTGGGCTTGAATAGGGACTGGGAGTGGCTGGCTCATTACAGAACAGCTTTTCCTCTCCTGGAATTGACACCTCCTCATCTATTACTGGGAGTGGACTACATCCACCCTGATTGAATTGGCCCTGTCAACACTGGTTCTCCACTTGCAAAGTAAGTCCCTTCTCTCCATGTGTCAGTATATAATGCCTGCATCTGTAACTTTCACTATGCATCTGAAGAAGATGGGTTTTTACCCACGAAAGCTTATGCCCAAATAAATCTGTTAGTCTTTAAGGTGCCACCAGTCTCCTTGTTGTTTTTGCAAAACATTACAATCTCTGCTACTACTGATCTATGATTAAGGCTGATCCAGCAGAAAATTCTATTTCCTTCACTCTGGTCCCCACGTAGGTTTCAATTAGCGCATGGGCCTTGCCAAAACTGACTGTTGCTGGAGACTTCTGGAGCCACACTGGCCCACGTGTTTTGGACTATCTCAGGACGCAATTCGTTTAGCTAGAATAGGTTGGAGGATTAATACGATAGTGGCTTCATCTCTAAAAATTACCTCCCAGAACTGTTTTGGAAATGCTCTAACTCACAGGAAGTTTGGTTTTCTAGATCAATGATTGTAGCCAAACAGCTTATTGCTTAGATAGAAAAGCACATTGCTTCTGGGGATAGAAGCTTGGCCCAGTAATATGAGGACTTAGCAGCTAAAAAGAAAATAATGTTTTGGAGAAGAGGGACCTCAGACAAATTTGAAAAGATACATACTCTGGGTTAATTAATAGGTAAAAAGTGATTTTATTAAATACAGAAAGTAGGCTTTAAGTGGATCCAAGTAGTAACAGAAGAAAATGAATTACCAAGAAAAATAAAATAAAACCCACAAGTCTAAGTCTAGTACAGTAATAAAACTGAATACAGATAAAATCTCACCCTCAGAGATGTTTCAATAAGTTTCTTTCACAGACTGGTTGCCTTCCTAGTCTGGGTACAATCCTTTCCCCTGGTACAGCCCTTGTTCAATCTCAGGTGGTAGCTAGGGGATTCTCATGATGGCCGCCCCCTTTGTTCAGTTCCACCCACTTATGTATCTTTTGCATATGGCAGGAATCCTTTGTTCCCTCACTGGGTTCCCACCCCTCTTTCTCAATCGAAAAAAAACGGGTTAAAGATGGATTCCAGTTCAGGTGACATGATCACATGTCACTGTAAGACTTAATTACCCACTTGCCAGCACAGATGTATACAGGAAGACTTACAAGTAAAACAGAGCCATTTACAGACAATTGTCCTGATTAATGGGAGCCATCAAGATTCCAAACCGCCAATAATGGCCCACACTTTGCATAATTACAATAGGCCCTCAGAGTTATATTTTATATTTCTAGTTTCAGATACAAGAGTGATACATGTATACAAATACGATGACCACACTCAGTAGATTATAAGCTTTGTAATGATACATTACAGGAGACCTTTTGCATGAAGTGTATTCCAGTTTCATTATATTCACTCTCATTAGCATATTTTTATAAAATCATATAAAGTGCAACGTCACGTCCGCCTCCTGAACTTACTGCCAGAGACTTTGACACTGACCATGGTGGAGGCAGTATACCTAACATTCCTTTTTGAGCTCCCCTCTGGGGTAGACACTTCTGTGTCCCCCAAAAGGGAAAGAGAGACTGGTCCAGCTGTGGGCTCACAGCGACCAGCTCTGACAGACCTTTCACTGGCCAGCAAAATGCACCCCCCCTCCCCTTCACTCAGGTTGGGCTTGCTTCCAGCTACAGAGTCCTGCTCAATTTCAGACTGGTGGAAGCTGCTGGCTAGGGTGACCAGACACCAAGTGTGAAAAATCGGGACAGGAAGTGGGGGTAATAGGAGCCTATATAAGAAAAAGACCCAAAAATTGGGACTGTCCCTATAAAATTGGGACATCTGGTCACCCTACTGCTGGCTTGGCAGCTTTGAAAACTGAAGACTCCTTATTCACACAATAAGTCCTTGCAGAGGTGGCAGCAGTACAAGCTTCTATCACATTGCTTCACTTATGTGACTCAAACCCAGATTCATGGAGTCCATGCAGCATCAATGTGGTTCAGACTCAGTGGATCATTCCGTTCTTGGCCTCTGCTGAGACCTGTTGGTGCCACAAGTAGCACTGGTCCACTAGAACTGAGACCAGTACCACCTTTCACAGAGGCCACTGAGCAACCAGCAAATGGCATCAGCTTTTGATGAGCACAGGCCTGATGAGACTGCCCTTGTTATAGATGAGCCTTTTTGTCCCAACTTGGAGGCTTGTTACACCAACCCATGCGTCCTGCTCAATCCACTCTATTAGTGGTGCTCTTTGAGCTCAAATCCAGCCCTGGGGTAATGCTTATTCTTGAAACAGCCTCTTGGGCATATTTACCAAGAAAGAGTTCTTCAATTCTTGTAAAGAGCTGCTGTGTTTGATGAGTGGATCCCAGCTGGGTTTTTTTCCATGCATTTTTTTTAGCCTGAAACTGTTTTTGTTTGGGTGTTGCTATCACTAAATGTACTGTACTTCTAGGCTTCTGTAGTGGAGGTGGGGGAAGTGGTAGATCAACCCAATATGATAGGGTTACCATCTTTAACAAATCAAAAAAGAGGACCCTCCACAGGCCCTGCCCCCGCCCATTTCCCACCCCCAACCCTGCCCCAACTCCGCCCCTTCCCTGACCTAACTCCGCCCCCTCCTCCCTCCCACTCCCAGCCACGCGAAAAGGGCTGCCCGAGGGCTACCGGCTTCACAGTTTGCCGGGCAGCCCCCAGACCCTGCACCCCCGGCCGGCGCTTCCCCAGCGCAGCTGGAGCCCGGGAGGGGAAGCGCACAGTCGGGGGCACAGGGTCTGGAGGCTGCCCGGCAAACCGTGAAGCCGGTAGCGCTTGGGCTTCGGGCAGCCCCTATGCCTCCAGACCCTGCGCCCCCAGCTGGGCACTTCCCCTCCCGGGCTCCGGCGGCGCAGGGTCCGGAGGCATGGGGGCTGCCCGAAGCCAGTAGCGCTCGGCTCTTAAACAGCAAAGGTGCAAGAGCCGAGGGGGGAGGTGTCTTTCTAGGAGCTGTGGGGGTAAACTGCACCGTGGGAAGAGCGTTCTCATGTGGGTTTATATCACTCGGTCTACATGATGTTCACACCCTGTCCTGTATGACACATGCAGTCCTCTGAAGTCTAACAGAACTAAAAGGAAGGCACACCTGACGCAACGAACTCCCCAAGTGCTATGTGTTTTGATCTCTTATTTCCGAAATGTGAAAATCTTGTAACCCACAATAGCTGCTGGGCAATCAGTGCAAATCAGCCAGGCTCTGCTGTCTAGAATCTAGGTTATGGAAGAAACGCTGGAAATTCATAGCTGTGATCTTCATTAATAGTTTTTGGGATGGTCATCGTCATTGTTTCAGTCCATATATCTGAGCATTTGCAGCTCATATTTCAAGAGGATTGAAATAATTATAATAAAACTCAGCAAAGAGGATATATCTCTATCCAGAGCATCTTAATAACGTTATTTAAAAATAAATCCAAACCATGCAGACCTTTTGCTGATTATGCTGTAAAGTTTCATTTGTATTATTCCTGGACACACTGACAGAGGTACTGGTGACCCGAGGCTAGTGACCCCCCTGAAGAACTAGGATATTCTTCACTTCTCTATAGATTGAAGAAAATGGAATGACCACCTTCTACTTTTTGCCTTGTACAAACACTGCTAGGCTAACAGCAAAATATCAGCATGTTGAGATGCACAAACTTGCTTGCTCATTATATCTTTGTTTTCCAAATTAGGAATCAGAACATGGCTCATGGTTCTTGAAATCCATAGGTTCGCAACATTAACTTGTGTATGGCACATGTTAGTAGGTCTTTAAAAACTTGTCAGTAGCAAAGATAACAAATGATGACTTCCCGTTACCTTCCTAGGTTCTGTTCCATGATTATGGTGGGGCTGAAAGCTGTGAAGTAATAGCAGAGTTCTTCACCACCTCTAGTGGGAACAATTACTCAGGGTATGTCTACACTACGAAATTAGGTCGAATTTATAGAAGCTGGTTTTATAGAAATCGGTTTTATACAGTCGATTGTGTGTGTCCCCACATAAAATGCTCTAAGTGCATTAAGTTGGCGGACCGCGTCCACAGTACCAAGGCCAGCGTTGACTTCTGGAGCGTTGCACTGTGGGTAGCTAGCCCACAGTTCCCGCAGTCTCCGCCGCCCATTGGAATTCTGGGTTGAGATCCCAATGCCTGATCATGCAAAACAGTGTCATGGGGGGTTCTGGGTACATGTCGTCAGGCCCCTCCCCCTCCATCTGAGCAACGGAAGACAATCGATTCGTGCCTTTTTACCTGGGTTACCTGTGCAGACGACATACCATGGCAAGCATGGAGCCCGCTCATCTCAGCTCACCGTCACCATATGTCATCTGGGTGCCGGCAGATGTGGTACTGCATTGCTACACAGCAACAGCTAATTGCCTTTTGGCAGTAGATGGTGCAGTATGACTGGTAGCCGTCATCGGCTATCTGGGTGCTGGCAGATGTGGGGCTGCATTGCTACACAGCAGCAGCTCCTTGCCTTTTGGCAGTGTCTGGTGTATTACGATTGGTATCTGTCGTCGTCGTACTCCTCAGTGAGTTCAATCAGAGGCACTCGGGAAAGTTCTTCAGCAGATTCCTCAAAGGAATACTGCACCAAACTTTCCACTCTGGGCATCTGATTCTTGACGATGATGGCTAGCAGTCGTAGTATAGTATCTTCTGCCAAGCACCTAGAAGATGCTGAGGGCTATCAGTCATGCTGCACCATCTGCTGCCAGCTTAAGAGGTAAAAAATAGATGGACCAGATTTGTTCTGTATTCATTTGCTTCCCCCTCCCTCCGTGAAATCAATGGCCTGCTAAACCCAGGGTTTTGAGTTCAATCTTTGAGGGGGGACCATTCTGTGTGACAGTTGTTTGTGTTTCTCCCTGATGCACGGCCACCTTTGTTGATTTTAATTCCCAGTACCTGTACGCCATGTCGTCAGTCGCCCCTCCCTCCCTCTGTCAGTTTCGCGCCTTTTTTCAGACTAGACGCCATAGCACTGGGATCATGGAGCCTGCTCAGATCACCGCGGCAATTATGAGCACTATGAACACCACGCGCATTGTCCTGGAGTATATGCAGAGCCAGGACATGCCAAAGCAAAACCAGGACCAGCCGAGGAGGCGATTGGCATCTCTAATCAGCGGATGGCAAAGGAGCGGAGATCATGAATTCATCAGCCAATTTTCATTGACTCTAAATAGGGGATGGAGGATGATAATTAGAAGGAAGGAAGGAGGGGGGTGCTAGATCTCTCATAATGTCTCCCAAGTGTTTAACGGGAGCATTTTAAAAAATTTAAATACAAGAAAATGTTCTTTAACGTCTGATCTTTTGGTTATTCCAGTGTCCTCCATTGCAGCTTCCGGGTACATGTAAAAAAAAAAAAAACCTAA